TTGTCCTAGAGCTATTACATGTGGAAGACTGAGTGAGGAAAGTAGCTATAGCTTCTTTCAACATTGGAGTGGGGCAGGTTGTGACTCTGGCTAGAACATTGAACTGGATGTGGTGGGGGGGAGGGGGGAGAAATGAAGCAGTRGAGTCTGTCTTGGGGGCCTTGATATGTTGGGGAAGACGGGGCACCTACCCTAGAGAAAGAAATGGGATGGGAGATCCTTCTGCCTGGGCTTAACTCTCCTGGAGGTGGAGAGCCCTGTGACCTGGGCCTTCTCTCCAACCACGAGCTGCCTGGCACCCTCAGCTCCCTGAGCCAGTGGGTCCATGCCTGTGATGCTCTGGAGCTGAAGCCTCAGGACCGTGAGCAGCTGGACGCCTTCATTGACCAGCTGTACAAGGACATCGAGGCAGGTTGGTGAGATGGGGCCATGACCTTACCCAACCTTGGAGACCCCTCAGTGAGATGATAGATATAGTCGTTTCCCAGGGACCTCTGAGCTAATGGCAAGGGGTGGTTTATGGGATGCTTCAGAACTGTCCACAGGACATACAGGTGAGAAATGGCCCTGAGATCCATCCAGAGGCTCTTCTGGGAAGAGGGGGAGTGCCGGACAAATAGGGTGATGTTGCAGACAGAAGAGCAAGGCTTGAGCCTCAGAGAAGCAAGTTTAGGTAGGGCCCGGGTGCATTAGTGTGGTAGGTGGCAGGTCACTGGAGCTGGTGCCTGTCCTGTAAGCCTAGTTTTCTTCTCCCTCCTGTAAAATGGGTAGAACACCATCTGCATATTACTATCTTACAGCAACTGGCGAGTTCCTTAACTGTGAAGGATCTGGCCTCTTTGTGCTTCAGAGCTGCTGTGAGTCATGACATTGGAAGGGATGGGCCACCCATTTCTTTCTTTCTTCCTTCTTCCTTCYTTTTATTTTTTGTACTAGGGATTTAAATCCAGGGGTTCTCTACCACTGAGCTATATTCCTGGCCCTTTTTATTTTGAGACAGGGTGTCACTGAGTTGCTGAGGGTCTTGCTAAGTTGATGAGGCTGGCCTCGAACTTGCGATCCTCCTGCCTCAGCCTCCCAAGTGGCTGGGATTACAGGTGTGCGCCACTGTGCCCCACAAGCCCACCCATTTCTGCCAGGTGGTCTCACCACCACACTTTATCTTTCTCAATTGGTCCTTTTCTAGGCTGGTGGGGTTGAGTTTGGGAGTGGGGTTAAGGCTAAGCTTTGGGATTCCCTTGGGCCTTTTTACTCCATTATATTTTTTCAGTCATTTATTTAACTGTATGTTCTCTTYTTGTAAGGGAACTCGGTGCCTTGGGCATACTAATAAAGCACTCTACCACTGAGCTACATCCCCAATCCATTGCTCAAGTTAATAGATGCTAATATATAAAAATTTACAGTGGACCAGGCCATGCCTAAGGCAGGCACAGAGCTCTACTTCATGCAAGGGGAAGTGTGGGCTTTGTACTCTTCTGCCCTGTGGTATAGGGGAGTGTTGGAAGAGTCCAGGAGGTCCGCAAGATCCTAGGCAGAGAGAGGGAGCTCAGGCTAGAAGGCAAGTCTCCTCAGATATGTCGGGGAGGGCCAGGACCAGCTCCCACAACTGTCTTTTTTCTGATCTCAGGCCTCGACTTCCTGGTTTCCTCACAGCACGCCCCTCCTCCTAGACCTCAGGGCCACTCTGTGCCTCCCAAACTGATTATTCAGAGGGCCCAAGTCAGCTGGGACCATATCCAGTAGATGACAAAACTGAGTTAAGTGGTCTGGTGCAGGCATTCCTTCAGAGCCCTGTCCCTCCCCTAGTGAGACATGGGAACACAACTGAGATTGAAGTTGGCCAGTTTTGAGAGACTGGAGCTGGATTGATGGGGCAGTGCATTGTGCCTGTGCACCATGGTCTTCAGGGAAGAAGAGTGGATGTGGAGGCAGGAAACTTGGGGTCTGGTACCTGCTCAGATTGTCGGGGTTCAGAGAACAAGGAAATGCTCTGCAGAATTGAGAGACTTTTTTGTTATTGTTGTCATTAATCTTCATTACTCTCCTTTTGTGACCCAGGCAACCACAGCTGTGTCCCTAATGCAGAGACTTCCTTCCCAGAAAACAACTTCCTTTTGCATGTTACCGCCCTGGAGGATATTAAGCCAGGAGAGGTGAGGGAGGCCAGGGCCATAGGGGTCAGGGTGGGCAGTGGGTTTGGTAAGTTATCTTCAGGGATCTGGAACAGCAGTAACTAGAGCCCCTCAAAGTTCAGGCTGTTGGATGAATCAAGGCCTTACTCTTTTCACGTTATAACCCTACAACACTTCTTCAAAAAATAACTCTAGAGCAGTGTTTGAGGGACAGCTATGTTCCCAGGTTCCTGTCCCAGCCACCTTTTGATGGACAGATCCTAAGAAAGCAGGAGGTAGCTCTTTGTGCCTTGAGCTGTGGTGGCTAGTGTGGGTTTGGGGTCTTGGCTGTGAGCTCAGTGCACAGATCCTGATTGGAATCATCTTCCAGGCCATGTAGCCTCAYATCAAGATAACCTCCAATTCCAGCCATAGATGTTGGCCATTTACTGAGTTTCACCATGGTCAGAGGCTAACTTCAGTTTCCTCTCAACCTCAAACATGGGTTGTTGAAATTTCAGAGCACCTGCCCACTGAAGGAATGGTGGAATGGATTAGGGCAGCCCATCCCTTCACTGAAGGGCAGCTCAGTTCTGGCTCCCTGGGATGGGCAGTGGTTGGAGATAGGACAGTTGTTGGGGAAGCCCTTATCCTATTGAATGCAGAGCACAGACCCTCAGACCCCATCTCTCCTCTGCCCCACAGGAAATCTGTATCAGCTATCTAGACTGCTGTCAGCGGGAGCGTAGCCGCCACAGCCGCCACAAGATCCTCAGGTGCCAGCTGGAGACATGGTTGGGTAGCTGGGCTGTGGGTTCCTCTATCCCAGTAGCTGCCTGACTTTTTGCCTTCACCATTCCCCCATCCCTGCAGGGAGAATTATCTGTTTGTCTGTTCCTGCCCCAAATGCCTGGCAGAGGCTGATGAACCCAACGTGACCTCAGAGGAGGAGGAAGAAGAGGAGGAGGAAGGAGAACCAGAAGATGCAGAGCTAGGGGATGAGATGACTGATGTGTGATTTGTTCTGTCCAGAAGTGGCCCTGCCCCAGATCCTGCTGGGATAGGAGGTCCTTCCCCAAGACAAGAGGCTTGGAAGGAACCCCCCCGACTCCCATTGCCTGCTTTCCCCCTTCCAGTGATTGCTGCCTGAGGGTAGGACAGAGACTGGACCCCAGGCCCCATGTCCCCCACTAGACCTCATGCCCTGAACACTGCTGCTGAGTTGGCTCAGGCCCCTTGCTGTCACTGAGCCTTCCAGAACCGGCCTCCCCCGAGGTCACTCCACTGTAGATGTGAGGGGCTGGAATCAGGGTCAGGCCCTAACAGCGTCTCTTCCCCTTGGCCCCTTGGCCTATACTCATCCACTCACCTGAGGCTTTTTCCCTCTCAATTGGCTATTATTTTGAGGGGGTAAAAAGTGGTAAATGAGCACAAATGATGTCACTGAAATGGAAAGGGGAGGTACCCCACTGTCCTTGCTCCACCTGCCACAGCTATAGTTGATAAGACAATGGTTTGCCCACTAGCCCAATAGGGAAAGGCAAGGGTCTGGACCTCTAGAGCATTTTCCCTGAGGCCCACTCCCAGGGAACACTGGGAATCTGCCACCCCTGCCCCTCACACACACATACCCTTCCCACTGTTTGGATATCAGGGGAAGTGGAGATTAACTCCTTTCCAGACCCTAGAATCTCTGTACCTCGTGCCTTTCCTCTCATGTCCTGGCACAGTGCTGGCCCCATGGGGTATGGGGAAAGCCTCTGCCTTCCTTAGGAGGGGTGCATGGATGATCATCACCCTTTCCTCCTGAGGACTCTAGCAGTATGGCTGACAGGTCTATGTTCCTTAATTTAGAATGTTCTAGTCTTCCCTGGGGCCAGTTAAAATGGGTCAGTGAAGGGCTCTCYTGGCCTCAGTCTCCATCTTTAGGGTCTCTACAGAAGAACATTGAAGTCTTCCAGAAATGTAGAGGAGCTAGGTTAGATGCTCAGAGATTAGCTGACTGTCCCCTCCTTTTCCCAAATGAGCACTCTCACTTTTGGGTAAGGTGCTGGAGGAATTACATCCATCATTCCCAATTCCTTCCTGCCTACCTTCTGTGAGGTCCTGTCATATCCCCCAGCTGAGGGATCTCAGGGAGGGCAGGTTCCACCCACAGGACATTTATTGATTGGATCATGGAGTTAGGTTGAACCTGCCTGTCTGGCCCCCTCACCTATTGGGTTCTTACTCCTTCACAGCAGCCAGCAACCCTTYCCCACCCTGCCTGCCCACTGTCCTCAATAAAACATGAGTGGTGACAGGCCTCTACAGGAATGCTTTGTAGATAATAGCTGAGAATAGCTTGCTGAATCCATGTAGATGGATGCCCAGAGGCTCAGGTTAAACTAGGTGGGGGCAGATAGGGAGCTGCATCTCTGGTCTCAGCAACCTGTTGTACAAATATTTCTAAAGTCAGAACATGGGACCCCTAAGGTCCAATCTTGATCCCTAGCACTAGGCTACAAGATGAGTCTTCTTCCCAGGGGGCTGAATTTCACCTCCCTGGGGTTTCTTGAGCTCTTGAACATAAAGCTGTGTTGGGATCCAAGACTAGCAGTCTGAGTGCTGGACCTTGGGCAAGTCCTTGTCTTCTCTGGGCCTTAATTGCATCCCCTCAAAATGATTGTATGGTCCAGTTGTGGTGGCACATGCCTATTATTCCAGCTACTCAGGAGGCTGAGGCAGAAGGATTGCAAGTTTGAGCCTTGGCAACTGTCTCCAAAAAAAAAAAAAAAAAAAAGACTGGGGATGTAGCTCAATGGTAGGATGTGCTCCTGATTTCTATCCCCAGTTCCACAATGAAACAAACAACAACAACAACAAAAAAAAAACTGGGACCAGAGATGTGAGTCTGGAGGCCCCTCCCATCCGTGTGTTTTATTCTAGGACACAGGTGCAACCCTGATGAGAGGCTTTATTGCTAAAAAGTCAGTGATGGTTTATTGAGTCCCAAACACCAGTTCCTTAAATCACTCCAGCAACTGCTGTGAAGGTCACTGTGAGGAGACCCTGGGTGGGGGAGGCTGAACCAGGTGGGATGTGACAGGTCATAGCTCTCAGGCTGCCTGCCTTTGGCTTCTTTTGGTCCAGATTCTAGCCAGAAGCCCTGGGGGCTTGGCTCTTTCTTCTTCCTGTAGCATGAGATGTCCTTGGAGTCCTTGAGGATGAGAAAGCCAGTGGTGTGGCTTCCCTCCCTCAGCCTGCCTAAGGCCCAAGCCCTTTTTCTCTACCTGGCTCCACTTGTCCCCAGGTGCTATCCCCAAATTCCAAATAGTAGAATTCCTGGGTCTCCCCTTCCCAGCTCAGAGTTGCTTATGGCTGGAATGTGAGTCCAGCTCTTCTACCAGAAGGTCCAGGGAGGTTGCAGCAGCTCAAAGGTGGGCATACTGGTGACATTGACTGGGATGGAAATGATGGCCCATGGCAGCCCATGTTGTTCCAGGGAGCGACGGATCATGTAGCTAGGAGGGCATGAAGAGAGGTGGTAGTGATCACATTTTCTGAGCATCGCAACATGTCCCACTTTCCCCATCACTCTTGGTTTCTAAAGCCCAAGGAGTCTTTTTGCCCTCCAACTGAGGCACCCCAAGATGAGGTCTATGGGAAGGGGCTGGTAATTACCCTTCACCTCCCAAGTCATGTTACCCAGTTGCTGCTGACAGCCGAAGACAAGGACCCCTCACCCATCTCGGCCGAGTAGGAAGAGAGCAGGGATGTCCACTGTGCGCTGGGTACTGTCCTGGATCATCTCCACATAGAAGCTGTCATTGTCAACTGCATTGTCAGAGATGATCACGGCCCGCCCACCGTGCTCCTGTACCACCCGGGTCTTAGAGAGGAAGGAGCAGCCCCTGGAAGAGGTGAGGTCAGAGGAGAAAGAAGGATCATGTAGAACTTGTTATAAAGACTCCTAAATACAACAACAACAACAAAAAAAAGACTCCTAAATACAAAGCCAAAAGTATGGATAGCCTTGAGCCTTTAAAAGAATTCAAAACTAGCTATTACCACCACCGGCCATGATCTCAGAATCTGCCCTATGCCTGCCCCCTACTTGTGCCATGCCCCTTGACTCCTTACCCCCTCTCCACCAGAGCAATCTGGTCCTGGATGAAGAAGCCGTTGCTGAGTTCCCCACAAGCCTCTGGAGGTTCAGCAGGGACAAGATGAATCTGCTCATACCTTGTGTGCTAAAAAATGTTTAGGCATTTGAACARGAGAAAGTATAAGAAGACCAGACACATCTGCTTTGGGATTGGGCTTGACGGGCCCATCTTACTGACCCTCATCATAAAGAGTGAAGGAAATGTGGAGTGGTTTCTGTGTTGCTGGGCAYTCTAGCCTTGATTCTCACAAAGGCCTATCTGGTTGTCCAACCCCAACCCACCTTGCTTTGAGCTAGGTAGGTAAATTTGGTCATAGACTCAGGAAAGTAGGTGCCCAGAGGTAGAGCTGGCAGAGAAGCTCGGTGCCCTTGTTTTTTCACTATTTCATGACCCCCAAAGAGATGGTTTGTCCCTTCATGGAACCCAGTCTATTGTATGCTTGGGGAAGTAGTTGGAAGCGCTTCTTTTCTGTACTGCAGCTCCTCCAGAGCATAGCTGAACTCTCCYTCCCTGACTCAGTCACCAGAGCTCAGGGAGGCAAAGGGGCAGAGCTGAGGATCAGAGATCAGGTACATCCTTGGACTTACAAAGATACCACCGAAGTCCTTGGCAGGTGTGGCTGTGAAGATATATCGAATGTCCCCAGGACTCAGCACTTGGAAGTACAAATAATCATGGATGCGTAAGCCTAAAGGATAAAGAGTACAGGTGAAAAACCTCCCAGGAACAAGCCGGTTCAGGTTTAGATCACAGTCCCCATGTCTTCAACTGGGATAACTATAGTCTTGGGTCCTTTGGATGGGAGTGTGGGTCCTCACTCCTTAGGAAGAGAATCGATGTGGGGTTAGTAACCTCAGAGATTTATATTTCCTGCTGCTGCTTCTTTAAGTGAGCCAGGAAGACCGAGAGGTCTATGGTTAATTCGCCTTTGCTCTAAAGTGGACCTGGGAAATTCACAGTGGAAATACAGTGTCCTGAACACAAAAATATTCCTAAGTGAAATTTGGAAGTTAACTCCAGTTCACTGTCATTCCCTTAGTCCAGTTATGATAGCTCTCCTGAGAGTTTTTTTTAATATTTATTTTTCAGTTTTAGGTGGACACAATATCATTATTTCATTTTTATGTGGTGCTGAGAATCGAACCCGGTGCCTCACGCACACCAGGTGAGCATGCTACCACTTGAGCCACATCCCCAGCCTCGAGAGTTTCTTTTTAAAAAAATATTTTTAGTTATAGATGATCACAATACCTTTATTTTATTTATTTATTTTTATGTGGTGGTGCTGAGGATCGAAAATTGTGCCTCTCACATGTGAGGCAAGTGCTCCACCACTGAACTACAACCCCAGTCTAGTTTCAGCGTTATTTATTTATTTATTGAGAGAGAGAGGGAATTTTTAATATTTTATTTTTTAGTTTTCGGTGGACACAACATCTTTATTTTATTTTTATGTGGTGCTGAGGATTGAACCCAGGCCGCACACGTGCTAGGCGAGCGTGCTACCACTTGAGCCACATCCCCAGCCCTAGTTTCAGTTTCTTAATGGTCTACTGCCTCCATTCTTTCCTTTTTCTTGTCTGAGGCAGGGTCTCACTATGTTGCCCAGGCTGGTTTTCAACTCCTGGGATCAAACCATCCTCCTGTCTCAGTATTCCATCTGCTTCTATTCTGGGTTGCCAAGGTCCATCCACCAAATAAACACCAGGGATTGGTTTGTTTTTTTGTTTTTTTTTTTTTTTTTGAAGGTAACTGGAGGTTGAATCTAGTGGTGCTTTGCCACTGAACTACATTCCTATCCCTTTTTATTTTTTGAGACAGAGTCTTGCTAAGTTACTGAGGGTTTCAATTGTCGAGGCTGGCCTCAAACTTGCCATTCTCCTTCCTTAAGGTCCTAAATCACTGGGATTACAGACATGCACCACCCCTCCTGGTAAAGCCAGGGATCTTAAAACATCTTAAGAATTATCATATCTTCACTCCCAGGGCTTCAGTGCTCTTCAGCAATTTCCTTTGCACTTAAAGTTGACACTGCACTATGGCCTAAAAGACCCTGTATGATCTGACTCTTGGCCACTGCTTCAACCTCATCTCCTTCCCACGCTACACTGGCCTCCTTTCAGTTTCTTCACTTCTTTGGGTCTTTCTGCAAGCTGTTCCCTCTACCTGGAATGCTTCCTATTCCCGTATCATCCCACTTCTTTACCTGACTCACTTCCAGTCATTTTTTTTTAAGATACAGCCTAAATGTCACTTTCCCAGATCTAAGTTTTTGCCTTATGATTGCCCTGTCCTCCTAGTCAAAATGTACTTTTTCTGGGTATGGGAACTTCTTTTCAGCATCAGAGCCTAAGGATTTAGCTGGAGCTGAGTCCCTGGATTCCTTAGCAGGCAGAGACTGATAAATATTGAAGGAAGGAAGCTGCTGCCATAGGTCTGTTAATAAACAAACCAAGCTATCACCGTATGCCAGGGTTGAGATTGATTGTGGCTCTAGCTGTCCTTGTCTACTGTCCAAAACTCAGCCACCAGGTAGAGCTCCATGAGCTTGGCACTGGGGTATAATAGCCTTTTATTCCTGGGAGTGGGGATTCCCCATCAGATGCAATGACATCCCGGGGAAGCCATGCTGGATTAGCGTTAAAGATTCCCTCTTGCTCCCTCTCCTACACTCTTGCTTGACATTTGCATATGCTTTTCTATGTAAATTGTGGGTAGATATACCTCATGTACATGTATAATATATATATTTATGTGCWTGTGCAAGTGGGTTGTGTAGGTGAATGCTTGGGCGTATGAACCCACATGTAGGAATACGTGATCCTGTAGTATATATGTGAATGCTGACATATATATCTCTGGCTCGTGCCTCCATCTGTCCCTTGTGCTTCCTCCTGTTCGCACCTCAAGTCCCCGGGGTTGTCCTTATTGGAGGGGGGGGGGGTGGGGGCAGCTTCGACGTGGGTAACTGAGGATTCAGAATCCAGCTTGAAGCTGGGCCCAACTCACATCCCTATGGAACAGCACTCACCCACCCACTCTAGCCACCCGTCTCCAGACCTACCCGACTCATAACTCGCGGGGTCTCCAAGGTGACCCGTGGCCCCTGGCCCGAGACTCGCGCAAGCTGGACGGTCAGCCCCGCCCCACAGCCCCGCCCGTTGCCGCTTACCATGGGCCGCGACGCACGCGGGGAGCCACAGCGCGAGACAATACCAGCCCGCGGCGCCGGGGACCATCTCCAGGGCCCGGCCCGGCGCCGCGTTTTCTCCAGCCGTCCAGCAGCGCGTAGCTTGCCGGACTTTAGCCTGACAGCTGCTCCGGCCTCCCGCCCACAGACCCGCTCTCCTCGCGGGTTGGCAGACGGGAACGAGGTCCACGGCTGATTGGCTCTGACACCTGCTCGTTAGCCGCACTTTCCACCTCTGCGCCCTAGCCCACTTTCTATTGGTCGAGAGAAGTGGAGCTGATGTGTGATTGGCCTAAACTCTTTAACAGCAACTGCTGGCCCTMGACTCAGCTCCGCCCCCGCGTTTCTTGGTATAGATTCGACTGTCCAGTACCCTGCTGGCAGTAGGCGGGGCGAGGAGGATGGGGAACTGGTGGGTGGCTCGCAAGGATCTCTTCAGTTGCTGAAAGTTCTGGCCGTAGGCTTTTGTGGTCTCGGCCGGACCCTCTCCACTGATGCTTCGCTCGACGATTTGCCTTTCCCTATCTGTGTTTTCCTCCTCCTCCTCCCCTTCTCGGGAAAGCAATTGTCTAGCTGGTCCTTCGCGCAGTTACACCATCGCTTGCGGGCTCACTGTCGATAAGAGTTAGAGCCGCGACTTGACGCATCCCACCCGCGAGGAGGCGCTGGCCAGCGCGGAACCAGACTCCGGACATTGAGGCTAGTTTCTTATGCCCGCTTCGCTCCCACTTGCTGTGCATTTGTGATTGTGGACACTTTTCTCTACCTGTCCTCGTCTGTAAAGTGGGCACAATAATAGTATCAACACGATACGTGACACATTAGCACACATAGTCGGCGTTCAATAGATGTTTGCGTTTATTTCATTCCTTGTCCTGGCGTCCGGGAACGGAGGGGAGTGAAACCAATGTTAGTGGGTGACACAGGTCTACAAAGGATCTTACATCCTCTAAAAGAAGCATTTTCGAAGTCCAGCGACCCCTGAAGTAACGCCTCTAACTAGAGCGACCCAGAGACTCAGCCTCAGGAACTTCTAGCCACACCGACTCGGTGGTAGCAAACCATAGAGTGGCGGAAGTGGCCCATCCTCTTCCTCTACCGGCTCAACGGCTTGGCTAAGCTTCTGGGGACTTCTCCGGCGCAGGGCATTGTGGGCTTGCTGGGCGGCCCGACTGCGAGAACAGAGGACTAGCGGGCCACTGAACAAGCTTCCAAAATGATGGTGAGTGGTGTCTCGAGCATCCATCGCCATCCGCTGCCATCTGGTCGGTGGCTGTCGCCGCTCAGCCGGGGAAGCCTTGTAGGATCTTTTCCAGACTCGCCTCGGACCTCGTCTTGGCTCCCTGCCTGCGGGCGACTCCGGCTGGCCGCGGCCTGAGTCGATTCGGGCATGGAGCTRGAGCGGTTGGCTTGCGTTCTGTGGGGCTCAGGGTTCTGGTAGGGTCGGGGACTACAGATCCCAGGGTGCTTCGGGACCGCTAAGCCACGTTGGGAACCCCTTCTCGAGGCTCCCCGCAGTAGGGAYCTGTGTGAAACGAGTGTGGGTCGGGCGTGTATACGCGGCCCGCAACTAGGCTTGAAAGCCCGGGCTGCCCTGGGAGATTGCTGGATTGAAAGAGTGTGTTTTTAGAACGGACACAGGCAGCGTTGGGAATCTTTTGTTGGGCCGCGCCCAGCGACCCGCAGCTCTTCGGCTGTTGCATATATGAAAACATATTACTCCACTCATACTTAGGTTCATTCATTTACTCGCCAGTCACCAAATTGGTACATATTAATGCTTACTGAATGTACCAGGCCCAGAGGATTACTGGGGATGCAGCCTTTCAGCTGGGAAAATGGGCAAGGCAGAGGGGGATACAGTAGCGGAGGTGGGACGACCTGCACTCTGTTTCCGGTGACATTAGACAAGATTTTCTAGTTGGCTACCAAACTCTGTCTAGTTTTCTTAGAAGTGGGTGTGTGTGTGCCCGCGCTTGCGCACATTGCTGCGTTATGAATGTTGGAGTGTCCCAAAGGTTTCCCTGTAGCTCTGCAACACGGCTCCCCATTTCTCCCTCTCAGAGTTTCAGATACCTTCCCTGTGTCTCAAGCGTTGGTGGTATAGTGGTATAATCTAGGTTGCTTTTGAGAGGGCTAACTTAGCTTCTGAGCAGGTGATGGCAATACCTTGTATCCTTCCTTGGCTCATTCATTTTCCAGTCTTCATCAGTACTATTCTCTTTATTAATTTTAATTTTTTTTCATTATTTGTTCTTGAAGATGTCTTGCTCTTTGTAGAGATAGCACACATAGTGCAATGTTTGAAAATAAGGTCTCTGGAACTACATTAGAGTCCTATGTGTATAACTTAGCTCTGCCACGGTTCAGCTGTGTGATTTTGAGARTATATTTAATTTCTGGCTTTTAGTCTCTTAGAGGGAATAGCAATAGAATATTGGTGCACAGAATTAAATGAAATAAAACATGTAAAGTGCCTGGCGTGTAGTAAACACTTAGMAGATGTTAACTAAGCAGTTGCTTCCTTTCCTCCCTGTATTACTTCCTGCTGCCAAAGTTTCTGTGAGAGCTTTGGTTGGCTTTTAAAGAACGATGATCAGAACCACAGTCCTCCTGTGCTGTGATAAAACCCCTTACCAAAGGGCTACAAACTACCGCATTTGAGTTTCACTTGAATTGATTCTTCCTGCTGTGTCAGATTGACTATTTACTTCTTGGATGTCTCACCTCCTTTTGGAATATGAAACTTCTACCACCAGGAGTCCTCTATGCTGGCATAAAATTTGTCTTTGATGTTCTAGAAGCCTGTGATGGAAAGAGAGGTAAAAGAGTCCCCTGAAGCTTTAACCCCTCTCCCGCTTTGGCTTTGTTATTTTTGAGACAGCATTCACTGAGTTGCCCAAGCTGACCTCAAACTGGAGGTCTTTCTGCCTTAGCCTCCTGAGTAGTTGGGATTCAGGTGTGTGCCACCAAGCTCAGCTTCTGAAACCTCAGTTCTGTGACTTTGAGACAGTTTGAATAGAGTGTATGTCCCTGCCTTTGTGGTATTGAGCTCTGCGTGCTTTGTTTTATAGAACATCAAGCTTAATGTTTAATAAACATTTTTAAGGTGAAGAGGAAGATCATTAAGCTAAAATTCCAGCCTTTCGTGATTCCCTTGTCAGAGTACTGGAGGAATAAAAATACTTGACATTGAGGAGCTGGACTGTAGCTCAGTTGCAGAGTGCTTGCTTTCCACATGTGAGGCACTGGGTTCAATCTTCAGCACCCTATAAAAATAAACAAAATAAAGACATGTTGTCCATCTACAACTACAAAAAAAAWTTTTTTTAAAATGAGTGACATTGAAAGAACTTATGCTCTCCATAGCAGAGTCTGCTGCTGGGGAACTGATAGAAAATGACCCACCCTGCTTGGCCTGGCTTGGCTCACTCCAATTCTGCCACCCTTCCCTCCCTTTAGGATCTCTTCTCAGCCTACTATTTCTGTATGGCCTACAAGGATAGGTAACTTGGAATCTGTGATGAGCTTCTTCTTGATCCTTGCTTTGTACTTAAGAATTCTCAGTAAATTTAGTGCCATTTTATTTCCAAAAAAAAAGTTAAGAAGCCATTGCTATCTTACATCAAGCACGTTCACATAACAGTTGAATTTTCAGCTTGAAAAGCTGATGCATATTGTTTCATCTGTGGCCAGATCTTGGCCCTGCAAGTTTAGGATACTGTGTTCCTTACCTTTGGGAAACTCATACTTATTTAAGATGCATGGTGATATATAAATTTTGAGCAAGGGGGAATGAAGAGAAAGGAGATTCCTCTCTTCCAATTGTCCCATTTACTGCTCTAGAGGAAATTCGTGGAAGAATTGAGTCTCTTAGGAATTTGGTCTGGTGGTAGGAAAGTGGTTTTGGTAGAAAATGGTAGGGTGACTGTTGTAGATAAGAGTACAAGTTGGATGTGGAGTTGAGAAAACATCTATAAAAGCATCAGATAAAGTAGCCTGTCAAAGAGACAAAGAACCCATTGAAGGTGCTAAAATGGATTTGACTTAGGTTGGTTTTAATTTAAAGCAGAAGATTCCAAGGCTGGGGTGAACCAGAGAAAACTTTAGGCATTCCTAAGGAATGACTTAGCAGGACTGGGAGAAGGTGGTACCTTACAGAAGACACATCTGCCCATTTCAGAAGGTGCCAGGGACTAGGTCTGCTGAAGGACTGGGAGTACAGAGAAGCCGTTCTTGCTACCAGACCTGGGCCATCCAGGAAAAGGAAGGAGTTTTTCCCTATATCCTCATCCCAGGTCCCAGATACAGGGGGTTTTCTGACAAGCAAAATGCTTATTAGGGAGGACTGGAGGGTGTTTTTAGTGGTAAAGCACTTGCCTAGCATGTACCAGTTTGTGGACTGTATCTTGCATGTGTACCCACACCTGAAATGTGTGCTTATTTGACATATATATATACACACACACACACATACATACACATTAGATGAACACAAGACATTTATTTATTTGTGTGGTGCTGAGAATTGAACCCAGTGCCTCAGGTGTGAAGCCAGAACTCTACCACTGAGCTATAAACCTAGCCCTCAAATACTCCCATTCTTATTCCTTAGAGTCTGTTGGACATCTTTCCATCCCTTTTATACATTTACATATTATATCTTGCCTTTTATCTGTTTTCTATGGTAGTTTTTGTTTTGTTTTGTGGTACTGAGAATTGAGTTGGGGGTAGTCAGCATTGTGCTACAATAGAGCCCTTTTTAATTTTAAGATAAGAGTCACTGGGATTATGGCCCATCCCTACTTTGTGACACCAATCCACTGCTAAAAATTTTTTCTGGGCTTGCCTTTTCTATAGGAATAACATCTGAACTTCTTGCCATAGCTAGCCTCAGGTGTGTGAGATCTGCTTCCTGCCTACCTGTTCATCTCTATTTTAGTCTTCCTATTGTTCATTCCTGCTGAGCCAAGAAGTTGAGCATTTTAAAGAATTGTCTAGTTCATATGGAACCAGGCTCATGGATCGATAGACTGTTTCTGGAATATGAATTCTTTACTCCTTATTGTAAGGCTGAGGCAACCTATACTTTTTTTTTCCTTCCCTTGCTCAGTACCTGAGGTAGGGTTAGCACCCTAGGGGTGGATGGCCTGTAAACAT